CCCGATCCCGTACCTCAAGGGGACGCGATAGAGAGACGAGACGAGATTTCCCCCTGACGCGTGTGGAGACCCCAGAAGAAAAGAATTCCCCCCTGATAGTATATCCAATTTCTAATAAGACGACATGTTTATGGCCGAAGGCGACAAGTTCAAGAACTTTTGACAATTTTCTTAAAACAACTCAATGAATTGGTTTTAATCCTGGGAGTTTAACATTGTGAACACATGATGTGAAATGATGACAAGTCATGTATTTTCATACTGGCCGAGATTTTTCAGATGAAAACAACATCAAGTTCACAGGAACTAGCTCAAACGTGAGTACGAAAGCCATGTCTTGCACATCATGAGTTTTGTTGACGAATAAAATGACGAGTTTTTAAAGATGGGAAATCGAACCAAACGTCACAGCCACAGCCAGCCAGTCCCCGGACAGGATGAATAACGCAACACAGACGTGGATATGTATGTTGGGTGTTTTTTTAATTTAATTTTAAATAACTCATTTCTTGAGTGTACGTGAGAGAAGCGGAGACAAATTTAGCATGAACAATTCAGTTTAAGGGAATACCGGACGTTTCAGTTTCGACCAGGGCGGACGTTTTGGCCCGTGACTCTTCTGTAAAATAAACGATCTTCAGTATTTGAAATTATCTCCCAACCAGATCAAGCAAACAGTGTTCATACATATAAGAAAGCAACATTTTACCACTTCTATTGTTAATAAACGCAATGGACATAACAACGTTTCATTGTAAAAATTCACACCTATCGTCACATGTGTTGATATCAGTTATTTCGTAACAATAAGTGATGGCAGTATAGGTTTGTTTAAATATGCTAGTATTCGGTTTATTCTGGTGTGGAAAATAGTTATTTTTTTGTCCAGTAGACGAAACACACTGAGTGACGTGCCAAATATCATTACACAACAGTAGTAATGTTATGTTTTACTTGGTATCACATTAGAATAAAGCTGTCGAGGGGGGGGGGGCTAAACGACAGGACATTAGATACCCTTAAACACACAATTACATTTTTGGAATATTTTGATTCTCTGTGGCTAAGATCATCTTACCATTGAACTTTACTTAGGCCGAAATCTCCGTGGCCGAAACGTCCGGGGCCAAACAACCGGAGCCGAAACGTCCGACCACCAGATTAAGGTGACTTATAAAACAACGTGAGCGTGAAAAATAGCTGCATCAAACGATGGGAGAAATTCACAACTCTGGGTGGTTGTTATGTAGAGAAAGGCTAATAACTGTGCCAAGTTTCATTAATCTCCTGATATGGGAAATGTGTCAGGGGCATTACTTATTGAATACCCCGGCCGTCGTATATTAAAACACCCACTCAAGAATTCAATTATGCATTGTAACATACACCCTTGTCATTTTCCCGATGTACAAATAATACCACACACGACACTTGATTTAAAGCGATATATTGTAAAAGTTGTAACTATCACCTGTCATTACCATGTATATATTCAAAACACATGATGCTTAAATTAAAACTATATAGTTTACAATATACAACTGCCATATATTTTCTGACTTATTTATTACAAATATGCGACCCATGAACGAAGAATTGTAAGAGATGTAAATCAACATTCTTGGGAACGTTTTATCTTCGAGACTTTTTTTCAAGGTGTTTTCCTACACTGAAGAATGTGAGCGTTTGGCAACTAAATGTCAGTAATAATGAATATATTAATGTGTTCTAAATTACAGAACGTTTTCACTGAATGGGAAAGTAGTATCTCGAACCATTAAATGTCTGAGGTAGAAGTTACTCGTGTGTATCCATTTCCTGAACAAGGCAACACTGGATTACATACATGTGTATATAAACGGAACCACGTCCTTGAAAATATCTTTTCTATCAATTCGAAATCAATACGACACGCCATATGGTGAGATTATGTTTTGACGCATTAGATCGATTTTATTGAGAGGTAGATGACGATAATAACATACAAGAAATAATATATTTATCGAACAAAAGTTGAAGAGTAAACATGAATTAAATTAAATTAGAAATAATTGATTTCAGAAGCAATAGCGAGACTAATTAGTATTAGTTGCGACAACAGGTGGCAGCGCTCCAGACTTTTACGTTATTACCACCATTCACAGCCACGCAGGTATCACCTGTCGGTCAATAAGAACATTCACGTTGTTATGATGTATCTCCACTGTAGTATAAAACTGGCAATGACGTTTGCATAACGGCAGATATTTTGAACAACATATCCCATTCTATTACAGAGTTTCTGGGGGATGAAAGCTTACTGTGACTAATATCTGACTAACTAATCGCGTTATACTAAATTTTGAATTGTCCATATTCATAAATTCTAATCTGATTAATCTTGCAATAGAACACGTTTCTATAAGTTGCTCTCCGAAGTAAAAGCGTTCATGTGAGACGTTGATATTGGTTTGATATTTAGTCGTTTGTCATTAAAAAATACTGAAAATAAAGAATTGTTATATTCTAAGGGATGAACTTCTGCAGAAACAGACGGAGTTGTCTATTTCAACGACATCGCTTACACCAAATTTTGACGTCACTTGAGGGAGCGGCATGTAGAAAAGTTGCGTTATTCATGTTTTTTGGTTGGATAATTACCTTCAATGTACGCTCCATCACACAGTGTCCAAGCTGTATAAGCAGAACACCCGGTCAATAACCAACCATCATCACACGTCACTTTGGCCAGAGAACCAACCGCGCCTCCACTTTGTGGGCTCCATTTGACTTTACATTCCAAGTCCGGTGCCGCACAGCAAGCCGAGAACGCCCATACACCTGAAATGACGTCATAGTTTTTATGGTCAAATATTTGATGATAAAAACTGTCGTAAATGCAACGTACGCCGTATTTTTCTATCACATTGTTAGTTCAACATTTTACAATATTTTATTATTTTGTTTTACATTTTTTTTATTTTGGTCCAACACAGATTATGATCTTTTATTTTAGAAAAAAAAAATATGGAAAAACATTTTACAATATTTTATGATTTTGTTTTACATTTTTTTTATTTTGGTCCAACACAGATTATGATCTTTTATTTTAGAAATAAAAAATATGGAAAAACATTTTACAATATTTTATGATTTTGTTTTACATTTTTTTTAATTTTGGTCCAACACAGATTATGATCTTTTATTTTAGAAATAAAAAATATGGAAAAAGTTGTGCGGGTTTATTTATTGAAAAGCGAAATAATTTGGTATTTGAAAGGTTCCACGTGTCTGAGGTAAAAACATTACGAATTGATGCAAACAACGAAATGTTAACTAGATACTAACCACCGCCACCTGCACCATTGTATGCGCGGCATTCCTGGTTAATGACATCTTGTAGTTCTTCACGTATTTCTGAATTTGGATGCGCACCATCCAGTTGTTTCCAAAATGTTCTTGCCATGCATCCTAGTCAAATAATAAACATGATAATAACAATGACTCATCGCTTTGATTGAATATGCTTACAAGAGAAACCGGGTGGGTAGCCCATCGAACATATTTCAAACGTGTTGCCAGTTTCCATCCATTTGCGGACGTACTAATCTTTCAAAAATATCATATTTGCATTTAAATTCTCGCTCTCAAACGTCAGTGTGAGCAGGAGTATGTGTGCGGTATCAGAAATTACACGTAACATGATGAATTAGATGAACTGTGCATGGTGTCATGGTAACGATACGCATGGGCTTAGCTATAGGTCTCGCGAGAGTTAGTGAGTCGGGATTACAGAAGGATCGTACCTGTCAAATATGGCATCATTCCATCGATATTACTTGGACACGCAGAACCACTGTAATTATCGTCACCGGAACCGGATTTGCTACCGACAGCATACTCGCATTGCATCCCGGGCCATGTACAGCATCGAGCATACGCTTTAACACCTGTGAACCAACATATATCATATATATTTGTCACAGCAGACTTCGACAATAACGCTCGTTTTCACACCGTGTTGAAGTATTTTAAATTGTACTGAGGTGTTCATCAACGCTATGCTGTGGTGTCTAAGCATATATGCTAGGCGGAATTTGATAGGTCGAAACAAACTGTCAACAAACAAGCTCTCTGATTGGTCTTAAATCGTACGAATCTGCAGATGAGTCAAAGCATGTATGTAAGACGGAATTTGATAAGTCAAAACAACCGGTCAACTAACAAGCTGCTCTCTGATTGGGTAAGGCAGCAAATCAGACACAGTCTTTTAAGTAACTTCGCATCGACTCACTTCATTTAAGCGTAACGCAAATAATGTGACTGTGACATTGACTAACATTGTTGAATAATGCGTATACGTTCTGTACAGCATAGAATTAAACTGTCTACAAACAGTTTTCAATTGTCAAAACTAATATATGGTACTATATAAAACAATATTAAAAAAAAAAAAAAACATATATATTCTCCATAATATTCATGAAAAATTACTGAGTTTATTTACCACTTCCCCCGGAACCATTCTGGGCATAGCAGACAGGTTTCCCATCATCCCCTACTTCTATATACTCGCCATCACGTGTTCCATGGGCGCTACCGGGAAGATAACTCGTGCATCCCGTCATTACCTCATCGCCTTGACACCGTACGAACGCCGTGACGTCATCACCAGCACCAGACAACGCAGATGCACGTGTACGACATTCCGGTGCTGAAAACAAGTCGTAATTCCCAAGTTACAAATATTTGAGAATACCCAGGCTTGCTTTAGAATAATTTTATGTCAAAGCTTTTGCAGTTAAAAATAAAACTAGTCAGAAGGGCATGTATGACGAAACCGCGCGTTCGAAGAAAACAGGTACTTTACACGCGTTGTACACGTTGCATGGAGCTTATCGAACATGACGATACACGACTGTAGCGCTTCAAAAATCACGCTGCATTCAAATTAATGGAGATTAATACTCGTAGTCTTTCTAAAAATACTCGAATTCAACTAAAATACGAACAAATGTGAAATTATACATGCTGAATAGATTTAAATTTAAGGATATTTACATCAGTACTTATAATAATACAATATGCAATAGAGAATAGAGTATCCATAGCTACCCACTTGGCAACGTTTTAGAGTTGGTACAGCATTCAAGAGTTTGTCTCACTAACGCGTCTAAGTCATCCAGTTTATTCTCGATGCTTTCCAGCTTTTCTGCCCCGGTGACAAGAATATCTGCATACCTCAGGGAGCTACAACTTGTAGACTTCGAGAAGTTTTCCACGTCAGTTTTTAGAGTAGCTGTTATGGCTAGAGGCAACAGTGCCAGCACAATGTACAATGTATCACGCAGCATATCGTATTTCTTGAATCAAAAACATTAGAAAATATTCCTATTTGCCGTACGGACAATTTCGCTATTTTTTTTATAATTCTGACTATTTTCAATCAAGCGAATGATGACCTGTAGGTAAGTAGACCTGTACGTGCGTTACAAAGACGGCGTCTCGTTTTTTCTTTCTGATTTCTTTTTTATAATTATCAATTAACTACTAAATAACTATTAACTAATTAACTACTAACTAAGTAAGTGCAGACATTCTACCGAATATCCGTTCGAGGTAGCATATATGTAGTTGCGTGTCAGTGGTAGAATAAAAGATAAATCGAAACGCGATTATTTAACTTACATCGTTACGAAGGTCATATCATGTTCTATTCACGAGTTTACCTGAAGGGATGTGTAAAACGTCGGTGTTTTCAATATTCGGAATAGTAAAAAAAAAACGGAATATCAAAATTGGCCGTCAGGTAGATCATTCAGACAAAAACTGTTCCACATTTGCATTGTAATTGTTGCCGGTATTATAGTAGCATGCTTAGTGACTTTTTGAGAATGTCTTTATCATACATCAATTTTCTTCATAAGTTTAAATAATTTCCGATAATACAAATGGTCGAACTAATGGTTTTAGCAATTATACTAGTAAATAAAAAAAATACAAATTTGTTATAAATTATTGGTAATCCTGTGAATACTAAAGTCAACTTTTACAATATGAAAATGCGTACAATTTCCCGTTTTTTGGCTACAAATTTGATTACCACATGCAGTCAATGTGAAACGATGGCGATTTGATTCATCACAATTAACAAAGATGTTATTATTGTAGAAAATTGTACGAAAATGTTCAAATGTTCCGGCACATTGTTTTCCGGAAAGATAATGACATATACTGTGTGATACAAATGTCTGTTAAGTTGCATGCCACTGGTAAATTATACAAATATATATTCCAACTAAGAACAGGAAAAGTAATATTCAGTAAATCGTAAAACGAAGTACATACCTGAGGTGCTCTGATAATTTGAAGTTATTGTGCAAATCCAGTGATATATATATATATATACTCGACAACTAGTGATACCATGTGATGTTTCTCAGACATAACAAAACAATTAATTTGAACAAATTTATCGATAGTCACGGCGAAATTTAAATTAATTATTTGATCACCAGTGATCGAAAAAAACGCAATTAATTAATACCCAGTCTGCTCTCTCAAAGAGAAATTCTGCACATGTCACTAATTCATTTAGATTTATTCTGTCTTTCGTCGTTCGTATAAACTGTCACTATATGCATATTTTCAAATGCAAGGAGTATGGGATAACGCCGGTAATTCCACATATTCCGCTTCGGGGTTCCATCGGTTGTGTGTTATACGTGTCCTCCGGCTTTTATTATTATCATTTTTAATTAATTTTCCTACATTGTGTTCGAGAGATGGGAATTTGACGACAAGATAAATATACCACGTTTACCTTACACTCGAAGACAATGTGTTTTCTCATGTCTGGCTATTCCCATTTTTCAATGTGTTTGAAAATTGTTATCTCTGAAAACCCTTTGTTCTTGAAGCTAAAGTCCAACACGTGTTCAATTAAGCTACACAACCCCGTTAAAGATTCCAGCTCTTTAGTAAACAGTTGACGTATTCAACTTTGTAAAGTAAAAAAGTTGATGATCGCAATGTATTCAAAGGTTTTATTAGAGTCGATATCTACATTGCAATCATTCAGTATTTAGACCAATTACTTGTACCATTTCTAGAAATATGTGTATACATTAACTGGTCTCGTTACGAAAATGAGTCGATCGTACAAACTTCCGTTTTTCTTGATATACAAGGGGAGTGTTGGTATTAGAGTATATACACGTACCGATCACAACTAAGAATATATATTAGCAACTTATTTTTCCCAATAAGGGCACTACTTCATTCAGAGTTAAACGACAGGAATATAATAAATCCTTCCAAAGTATAATTGTTCTAGATATCGACGCGATTCATAGCCCGTCCCACTGTGACGATATCTGTGTACATTTTTGCCGACAAGCATGCGAATGTCTGTCAACACATGTCGATCTGCTGCAACAACATTGTCCGTAAGTTTTTTTTCATAAACAGGCACACATATATGTATAATTAACAAAAATAGGAATGAACTTCATTATTTCATCTCCGTGTGCTAACGATCAGTTCTTGCCAAGTGCAATGGCATATTTAAATGTCAGTTATCTTTACGATGTACCAATGTGTCCACTTTTCTGTATATCATCATCATGTCTCCTTCTCGATATCCGTACATGCAAATGAACCACGAGATCTCGTTGTGAGCGAGAGGGTCCCGACACATGTTCATACATGTTCTCAACTCAACTAGAGTTTCGTGGTTTTCTAGACCACCGCACAGGGATGTCATAAGTTTACATGTTTGCCAACTAGCATGCGAATATCTAGTATATATATGTATATCGTAATAGCTCGCTTTCTGCTATGACAACGTTGTATGTGCGTTATTTTATTACAGAGATACACACATGTATATTTAAAGCAGGAACTATGTTCCAAGCGACGATAACAACACACGCTAAGAACGCAAAGGCTCATGGGTAGACGCGTGAATGTAAACAATGACATGCTATGGCCATCTGACGCATGCGCAGGTGACGACTCCCCCGCTTCAATATCAACAGCAACGAGCAACGCCTTTATGGAGCAGATTCTTGCCAACCAGTCACCACACAGTCACGCGCGCGCAAAACATAAACTAAACTGCCGCGTTCCGAATTGTATTCAATTGGTATTCAATTGCATTTTCAGTTTTACAGAACACAAAATGATGACACGCTAAGTTCACATACAGATCACTTCAGTAACCACGACCTCAACACGATGGAATCAAATATATAAATTATGCAAATGAGAAACAAATGAACGTGCGAAATTCGAACTCACGATGATGGCAAAGCGCATTGTCACTGGAAAAAGACCCGCACTTCAGTACGGCGCGGCACACCAAAACGTATAAATACATTACACCGCAGTACCATATACATGTATACACATGGGTTACCCTCCCACGAAAAATCAAAACATGACAGGTTATTGGGAAACAAAAAGTACAAAAAAAAACATTTTTCTCGCCAGATTAGCGTGTGGTGATATCAGAAATAGTTGTCGTACTAAGTGTGTGTTGAATTAAAATTGCTAAATATAATTCTTGCATAATATTATAAACACCAGCTGCACATGTATGGCTGTATGTAATAATACAATACTAATAATCTCAGAACTAATATATTTCAGATTACTCAATCCTATTAATGCATTTGTAATACACGACTTGTGGGATTCAGTGTTACGTGGTATTTTTGTCCGACCACGTCCTACAATCTGCTTCCTCGTCGTGCAGTAAGTTGTTGGCGTAACTAGACTAGAGCGGTCCACATAACAAATCCCGCAACTGATGTATTCAAATATAAACGGTCGGTATTTATTAAAGAATTTCCTATCAATATAGCAAAATCTAGGTAGCCATGAATGCGTCGAAAACATAAATGTTTAAAATAAAATGGTCATCAATTTTTTGTAAAAAAAAAAAAATTAACAAAAAACTATATTGCGTTTGATTTTTCCACTAATACACGGAGAATATATTCTATTATTATACATCTGTCACCGTAACGCCATACGTTACAGCGTGCCGTAATTCTGTGGTATTTTAAGGGGTGTTTTCATCCTACCATATAAGTAAATGCGAATTCCAAATATGGAATGATTAAGCGTCCTCTAATAATAAAAACAAACATGGCTGCCACCAGGGTTTGACCGGAACCCACACAAAGAAGTTCGCTAATTCTGTTCTAAACTTTTTGGATTTCGGCATTCCAATGTATCCTTGGAAGAAATGTATAATGATAAGGTTATTAGGAGGATACATCAAAGTATGCACTCAGACAGTACGCCGTTGCATCGACCTCCTCTGCGCGTCGGTCTATACTCCCGGTGTACTGTCTTCGTGTATACTTTGAGGTATCCTCATTGAAATGCCGAAATCCAAAAAGGTTATACTCTCACATGGAAATCCCGTTTGTCCACTTGGAATTGGTTTGCGACGTAGAAAATGGGCACTAGGCAGAACAGGGACACGCTGTGTCAAACTTCGGCACTATGTTCTGCGGAGCGTCCGTTGAAATATTTCCGCCAGCATGCGGTTCAACATCCTGTAAAGCGAGTTACTGATCAATATTCGGGCATTTCAACGATTCTTCTGAATATTACGTTATAATATGAGTTTATCACTTGTTCGTAGAGTCGGTTGATACGAGTGATCTTATTGGGGGTGTCAACCTATGGCGTCACGAGATATTTATGCATTTAAGGCGTGACGCCCATCGACAATTATCAAAGATAAGTCAGAAATATAGATTAATTTCCAGTCGATATTTGTGAAAGTCAAAAATAAGTGTTTGCGCCTTGCATCACATTATTCAGACGACTTGTATACGTCATATGGACCCTACATAAAATACGACGCTGTGTGGCGCTGTGTGACGATTGTGGCGCAAATTTAGTATATCATCGGGGGCGGACATCCGGGCATTTTCACCGTCTGGCAACTATCGCGGTGAAAACAAAGGCCACAAACTCGTAGAAAACGGTACTTTGGGATGGTTGTTGAGACTTCCATGAACAGTGTAGCAAGATTAGCCCTACTTGTGTAACATATATAAATTCTGTTGTTCAGGATTACTTCAAAGTTGAGTTGTGTTGTTTTCTCGAATTTTCACCGGCTCGACCGGCGTTCCACAGCAGCGCGCACAGAGCTCATAGAAATGCATGTACAGTGGTGCGCGCCTTAGCAACGTGGAACGTCTTGTGACGTAGAACCGCCCCCGAGGATAGGAACATACAATGATTGCACTATTATCATCTTAGGCGTAACCTTATTACATTTATTCATAAATCTTTAATTAACGACTGTCCATGGGAAATTGATGTTGTCCAATACAAGCGACAATTTAATATTGCGTAAATAATGAATTAGCTCTATTCATAGCTCATGATATCAAAACGCTGCGATGTTTGACGGGTTGTTTGTAGAAATGTCTGAGATAAATCGCCCAGTCATCACCTGCGTCGCGATCGATATGATTCACGTGCGACATACATAACGACTTTCACGCTTCAACTTTTTAATCATAATTATATAGTTAGGCTGGAAAAGAGCATGCTACTTATTATTATATCTATTATATCGGAAAAAGACAAATATTTTAATTTACTATGATATTTGTATGTTATACTATTGCATTTATAATTTTTTTTGTCGCTGCTGTCCAAAAGGTCACATTTATTACTGCGATGTCAATACCGCTTGCAACGAACATGTTTTGTGACAAATCCGTTTTGTGCAGCTGTTACATTGTTAGGTTTTAAAACCACGCTAACAATGTTCAGATGATGATCATCTAAAACATTTAACGTTTAAAGTTTAAAGTTTACTGAATGAATAAATTAAACTTAAGGTGTCATACATAATGAATGTTATGATTTGCAATCGAAATAACATGATTACTTTCTTTTCCACACAAAATGTATCTGGATGTCGAATAGAACTAACATTACATATAGTGTAGAACATGTCTTTGTTAGCTAACATTTTATTTTAGCTAATTTAGCTAATCTGAAATTTCAATGATTCAAGATGTCGCTAATTAAGAATAAAGTGTATCCTCACACTGAGATTGTTGGTTAAGATTCTGTTAATTCATGCATTGAGTCAACGGTGGTAAAATTACGTGTAGCTATTTCAACGTGTTTACAGTAAACGTTACGTTAATTGAGAATCAAGGGTGGGAATGTAAACACCTGAGAACACAGATGTGGGTCGCCTGTAGACACATGTTATGCACGCGACAAGACTATTTTCTGAAAGTCATCCCGCGTGTTCAACATTCCCTGTTCAGCAGAATTCCTCGTGAAGTTTTAGGGTCCCATTTGTTATTTCTTGGCGGGTGCACATTATATTAAATGGCAATGCTTGTCGTGCCGCGTCCTGATCGATGTAGGACTCATAATGACGTACACAACGGATGCAAATTTATTGTTTCTTTACATACAATTCAAACACGACGCGACGACCGCCGTCTTTTATATAAACTCAGTAACCGTGTCCTGTATTAAATATTTACCTGAAACAGACATACATTCAACGCAAACGATTGTTGAAATTACCTCCTTTACGTAGTTGCTTAGCAACTAAACAGTTCTAACATGACATTATATCACAGGATGCCATGTTATAATCGGCATAGAGTTTTGAGAGGATTTAAAAAGTGAATGTCATGATTTGGAATAGAATTTAGAACTAATAGAACGAGAGGGACTTTAATCTATTTTTCGATTTGTAGAAACAAGTTACGTTGATTATTATATGTGGTAATCCACATTGATAATTAAAATATCAGTATTAAAGGAGACCGATAGTAAAACATATCATGTGACCGACAAACGATGCCAAGAATACACTAGATTGTGATTGCGACCAGACGAGAGGTTGGTTACAGAATTGGCAAACCGTCGCTGCGTAAACTTAGTAAATCTCCGTATTGTTTCATTTTCATTCTATAAGTGAAA